CTTGAAGTCAGTGTTCGGTACGACCAGACATGTTCACGCTGTGGAATTAGGCTGTTCAGCTACAGCCACGCGACGCCAAGGGGTCAACAGTGAACACTGAGCCGATCAATGAACACTCAAAAGTCATGCGACTCTGTGCGCGATGGCCGCCCACTTTCCCATTTGTATTAGGACCACGTCAAATCCTGCCTCTCCTTCAATCAAACCTAACTCCTCATTCTTTTCTTTCTCGGTGCGCATTGTGTGGATTCTGCTTTGGCCTCTAGCATTGTCGACACGCACGACTCCAGTATGTTGCCGAAACCGCTTTGGCGTGCGGCGTTCTTGGCTTCTGCCGGTAAGATTGCGTCCTGGCAAACACAACACTCGCGCTTCGACATCATCATCATATATGGCGTACGGCGCCGGTATGAACAATACTAACGTGTTGCCTCAGCCCTTACTCCCGCGATTCGCGCCGAGGGTGCAAATCCGCCTGGTCAATCAACCTTCATATCCGCGAGCAACAATGTCGCCTTTGCCTTTACCGTGCCCAACGACAACGACAACCCCAGAAGCACATTTTTCAGCATTCGCGTCCACAAGAAATTCACCTGGGGCGGCGTTGGCCTCGGCAGCGACGACATGAAGGGTGCATTATTCTTGATCGTCTACCAGAACGGAGACGGCACCAACGTCACCTTTTCTCCACGTATAGCCCATGGCAACTACGAGCCGTCCTTCTTCCAGGATATGCGGTGGACAGTCATTCCACATCAGACGGGTATTATTGACGACTACATGATTTTTACGGCCATGTGCACCGAGAGTTGTCGCACATGGCCGGGCGGAGACACAACTGGTGGCTACATTGACGTCTCATCGCCGGCTCAGCCAGCCATTTATGCTGTTGGTCCTGAGGGAACTCTCAAGGACGATAGCCCCAGTGCCGGATTGAAGTACCATGAAGAGTACGGCGTGTTCAATATCGACATGAGGAGGACAAGGGGTGCCGCGGATGCGCCTGTCCTAGGCAAGCACACCAGGCCTGATGGGACTGTGCAGATATCCAGTGTTACGAATAAGAGAGACTACAAGGCGGCACTGCATGCCACATTTATGGTTTGTTCCATAATTGGTATCATGGGCTTCGGCGGGATCTGGCTCTTGCCCATTGTTGGCTTGGCAAAATGGCATGCCTTGAATCAGATTGTTGCTACAATCGGCGTGCTATGTGGTTTATTTCTGGGTGTCCTGGCCAGTTTCAACTATCAGAGGGTAGGCTTTGACTATTAGTGCCCGGGGAGGGATATCATTTGCTGCTACTAACACGGGTATGTATAGTCCCGGGGCTTCAAGCACTATCATCAAGTGCTCGGTTACATCATTATCGCATTCATCTTGGCGCAGTTGGGATTAGGATTCCAGCACCATTTCAAGCACCAGCGGACGAAGGCTCCCACCATGTTTGGCAAGATACACGTGTGGCTGGGAAGACTGATTCTCCTCCTTGCTTTTGTCAATGGCGTCATGTACGTCTTCTACCTGTCGTTCGCAGACTTTTCTCGCGTTTTTTTTTTTTTGGGCTGACACATATTGCAGTGGGTTTACCTTTGCTCTGAATCGCACGTCAGCCATCTTTTTCGGGGTACTCGTAACCATTTCCACTGCTGCAGCTGTTCTGTTCAGACGATGGTGGTTTCCCATCAAGAGGCAGAAATTCCAACCTGTTGATGCGCAACAGCCACCCCCGTGGCGACAAAGCTCTGGTTACAACGCGGGCTACTCTTCAAGGCCTCCGCCAGGCTACGAGCCACCCTCACAGCAAGTTGGCTTGCAAGCCACTGGGTCCTCCTCGAATAACTCACCCTGGAGAAGCGGTGACAACAAGGATCGCGAAGACGACGAGCCGCAACTAGCAAACGCCCAGAGGCCCCGAGAGTTTGCATAAGCGTTGTCAATGTTTTGATAAGCATACTGATTGTTTCTGTTACAGCCAACAAAGCTTCAAGGCCAGCGTACGGATTTTGTGTTATTGTTCGATTATCAAGGATGGGGGACTGCATCGGGCGTTTGATTTGTAGGGTGCACAGGACATAATTAGGATGGCGTTTGCATTATTTAAAGTGCTTCCTTTTCTTTCTTAGTGAACGTATTCATACCTTAGTATCTACCCGTCTCATTATCTGGCTCTTCTTCGTCTCCCTCTAGCCAAATCTCATGCCCATCCCCCTCTTTAACTAGCAAACTCGCTAAACACGCACAGATAGCCACGCAGCTCAACAGCCAAAACACCAACCCGACATAGCCCCTGCTCAACCCAAACCCATAGACCACGCCGCCAATGATGGGGCCGACGGTTCTCGCAAAACTACTCACGCTCTGTCCTAGGCCATGTACAGTCCCCAGCACACTTGGGTGCGGCGAGCAGTTATTAATAAGAATGGCCTGGCTTGGCAAAGCAAACGTCCTACCCATGACTTGTATAAAGAGCACCCCACAAATGGATAGCCAAACTGCCGCTCCGGTCTTGCTGTGCGGCGGCTCAGAAGTACTCGGAACGACGGACAAGTACGGGACAAGGAAGTAGGCCATCGGGAACAAAAGGAGGGAAACGCGCCAAGACATCAGCGTGCCCAGCCGCTCTGACATGCGAGGGTAGAACAAGAGTTGCAAAGCGATGCCGATGACGCCCAGGATGGCCATGGCCACACCAACCGCCTGCGGATGCATGCCTATACCGCCCGTGAAACGAAAGGGCAACCGGACACCGTGGTCCGAAGCAGACGGGTCAAACACGGGCGTCGAGAGGAACACGAACCAAAGCGAGTTAAAGGTGCCGACGTGAAACGTGAGGAAGAACTGGGCAAACAGCGTCAAGGCCACATTCCGCGTGAATATCCGCCGAAACGGCAGCCGCCGTGTGTACCGCCTCGCCGGCAGCTTTCCCGGCGCCCTGCCGTGACCACCACCGCCGCCGCCATCAGGCGCGAGCTCCAGCGCATCCGACGGAATCGGCACGTATCCCGCCTGTGCGTGGCCGTGGTGGAACACGCTGCGCAGGAAACCGGCCAGACGCGAGCCCACGCGGGTTCCCAGGTCCGGGGGCGCGTCTCGCAGCGAGTCGAGCGTCTCCTCGAGGCCCAGCCACACCGCTGCCGCGGCGAGCAGGAGAAACACGCAGCTGACGATGTTGGGCGCCGCGTAGGGGAAGTCGACAAAGAAGCGGACGTGGCCGAACAGACGGGGATACGTGCCCGCTGGGTCGGACAGGATGCCACCCAGTATGGGGCCGATGATGACGCCGATGTTGAACGTCATGGGGAGCAGGAGAAATGCGCGGGCTTGGAACCTCTTTTCGCGGATGATTTCCGAGATCCTGCCAGCTTTGTTAGCACCGAAGTAAAAAAGGCGTCTTGTTTTTTCCTCCCTTTCCTTTGACGACTTTTTTTCGCAGAGGTTTAGAGGGGAAGGAGAGGTTAGACTCTTTGAGACGACGGCCGGCAGACATACATTGTTCTCATGACTCCGATATTCCCGTTGGTGCTGCCGCCCAGGGTGCGAAACACTAACGCCTGCCAGAAGCTCGTGGAGAAGCCGAAGCCCAGGCAGGAAAGGCTCGTGCCCAGCAGGCCGATCAGCAGGACCGTCTTGCGGCCGGCGCGGGGGGAGTCGGCGACGCGGCCCCATGCTATGGCCGTCAGGAACTGGGCTGCCATGAAGGAGGCGTGCAGCATGCCTGCTTGGCTGGATATGAGGGCGTCGGGGGACTCAGGGCTGAACCATTTCAGCTGGTAGTACATGTACGACTGTTGTGGGAGAGGAACAAGGAAGAAACAAAATTGTAAGCGTCTTGTAAGTGGCTCTCTATGGAAGGGGAAGAAGCCTACGTACCTGCAGGGATGTCTGGACCAGAGGCTCACTCATGCGAGCCAGTGTGATGATGACGAGCTGCTTTTTCCGCGGCAAGTCTCGCCAGGCGACTGGTTCTCTGGCGAGCTTCCCGGCCCGCTCCTCGTCTGTTTGTGGTTGCGTGCCGGCCGGAGGAGGCCGTTGTTGATGCCCGTCATCGCCCGGCCACACGGCGTCTGCGAGGTCAGGAGCATCTTCGTCCGGGTGCGTGTGCCTGAGGATTCCTGCATCTACATGTTTGCAGCGGTAGGAAGGCGGTTTGTCACGGTAGGGCATGTGGTTATGAGTGATGTAGTAGCTCAGGTTGAGTAGCTGCGTTGCGTTTGCCGAACTCGGAAGTGCGGAAATGTCTTCCGGTGTTTTTCAAACAAGCGAGGACTGTCTCGTGGCTCAAGTTGCCGTCGAGTATCACAAGCCGTCGCCAAACACTATGAAAACAGAGTCTTTACTCCGTACAAGCAAGGGAAATGCAAGTTTACAGACGCAAGGAAAGGGAGAATAGGACTTTTGCGTAATGCCCATCGCACGCTGTCCTATTCGCCTTGGAGGTGCGGAAACCCGAATTTGGCTCACCGCACTTGGGGGACGGAAATGCCGAGTCGGTGCCGAGTTTTTTTATTGGGCACCGCGCAGCCGGCCGATCCTGCGTTGATGCCTTGCTTTTTTTAAAGCGTGGCGAAACCACATGAGAGCTTGAAATCAAGCAAGATTTGGGCCATTGCGGCGTTTTGTTTTGTTGAGAATGGAAATAGAGAAATTGAAACTTGCCCGCCCACGGAGGCGGCCGGCCGGCCGAGGGGTCAAACTGGTCCGGAACCGGCGCCCCGCGACACGCCGGTTCTCTCCATGCTGCAGACGACAATACGTGATGTGAAGTGGCCATCTTTCTTGGGTTGTGAGTTGGCGGTTGAGTTTCGTCTCTCTTGTTCAACTCGTCACTCTGCGTACTTGGTGAATTTTTTTCCCTCGGCCGCTATTCTACTGCGGACGAGTTGAGGGCAGGGTATTTTACAGAGCGGCCGAGAACCGTCAACCGCAGCAGCATCTCGACAACCTCCTCACCCAGACATAACTCTGCCGGTAAAACGCTGCATCTCCCCGCCGCCGCCATGACCCTCACGATCCAGGTCAACGACGCAATCCGAGTCACAGCCCAGCCCCTCACCCACGAGGCATTCCTCCCGTACGGCAGTGTCATCGCCAACCCGCGACCAGACGTCCACCCGTCTGCCTTCTCGTCGCATTCGGCGTCGCTCCCCTCCAACGCCGTCTCGGCAAACCAGGGCCACGCCATCCAGTATCGCAATGTCAGCCGCGTCAGAAACCTCTACGCCCAGTCGCCCAGTGGAAGGGCCGACGCCGTCATGAGCATGTTTGTCTGCTCGGCCCGCGGCCTCGCGAAAATGGAAACTTGCCCGCCCACGGGGGCGGCCGGCCGGCCGAGGGGTCAAACTGGTCCGGAACCGGCGCCCCGCGACACGCCGGTTCTCTCCATGCTGCAGACGACAATACGTGATGTGAAGTGGCCATCTTTCTTGGGTTGTGAGTTGGCGGTTGAGTTTCGTCTCTCTTGTTCAACTCGTCACTCTGCGTACTTGGTGAATTTTTTTCCCTCGGCCGCTATTCTACTGCGGACGAGTTGAGGGCAGGGTATTTTACAGAGCGGCCGAGAACCGTCAACCGCAGCAGCATCTCGACAACCTCCTCACCCAGACATAACTCTGCCGGTAAAACGCTGCATCTCCCCGCCGCCGCCATGACCCTCACGATCCAGGTCAACGACGCAATCCGAGTCACAGCCCAGCCCCTCACCCACGAGGCATTCCTCCCGTACGGCAGTGTCATCGCCAACCCGCGACCAGACGTCCACCCGTCTGCCTTCTCGTCGCATTCGGCGTCGCTCCCCTCCAACGCCGTCTCGGCAAACCAGGGCCACGCCATCCAGTATCGCAATGTCAGCCGCGTCAGAAACCTCTACGCCCAGTCGCCCAGTGGAAGGGCCGACGCCGTCATGAGCATGTTTGTCTGCTCGGCCCGCGGCCTCGCTCCCCTCGACGACACCCGGGACAAGTTCACCGTGAGCCTTCTCGAACGACACCCCTTCACCACGCAGACTTTCTCCCCCGTCTCCTCCACGGCAAGGCGCTACCTCGTCATCGTCGCGCCCAGCCTGGCCCCCAGCGAGGCCGATCACCATCTCCCCGCCCCGGCCGGCGACGACCTACCCGGGAGGGGGTTGCCTGATGTGAGGGCCTTGAGGGCGTTTGTTGCCACGGACGCGCAGGCCGTGACGTACGGGGCCGGCACGTGGCATGCGCCCATGGTGGCTTTGGGACCGCCCGGGACGACGCTGGACTTTGTGGTTTCGCAGTTTATGAGCGGCGTTGCCGTCGAGGACTGCCAGTTGGTGCATTTCGAGACGAGCGGGCGGGAGGCGCCGACTCTTGAGGTTGCCGTGCCGAGGGCGAGGCTGGAGAAGCTGTAAATCATCAGGACGCACCAAGACGGACCGAGTTGTCTGCTTCGGTTCTCCCGGAATATAAAAGCTGTGGTTTACTGTCAACTTGGGTCGGTAGTTGGCGCCGTGAGAGTTTACGTCCCGCCGTTGATAGGCTCTTCCCCCAATTAGCCGCCTTGACCTTGATACATGACAAAACATTATTATTAATTAAGTTTTTTTTTTTTTTGTAAAAAAATATTTATATACAAATGATGGTGCAAGCATTACGTCTGGTAACACACTGTGTTGGTACCTAGGCCGGGGAACCGCAACTGACCACGTAGAAGGGACTTGAATCACCATGCTCTTGCAGTGGTCGTTGTCAGTATCAGAATAGAAAATAAAGTTGGAAAAAAAAAAAAAAAAAAAAAAAAAAAGAAAAAAAAAAAAAAAAAAAAAAAAAAAGAGAGAAAGAGAGAGAGAACTTCAACCTAATTGTCGTCGGCACATGGGCCGCTCTGAAAGATTAGTAATCTCATTTCATCAAATCTATCCTGTTTGACTTATGGACTACGCAGCAGGGGGTCTCGGCCGCATTTTCACGTATCCAACAAGTCTACTTTCCTCCTCGATATAAAACGAACCACCCCGCGCATCAAGGGGAAAACACCCCCCCATCATGGGTGTTGACAATGACGCAAGGAGCAGGCTAGACAATCTCTCTGCCACCTCGCCCCAACCAGGTGAGAACCCGTACTCGGCCTTCATTAACGCCTGCCACGACGATCCCGTCAGTCAAGCCTTTTCCCCCCACTCTGCCAACGGCAGCTGACGTCTCTGTAGGCCGAGATCCAGCTGCTCTACTCTGCGCACCGTACAAGGCGAAACGCCGAGCAAAAGGAGAAATTCCTCGCCCCCGACTTCGCCGGCCTGTCCATTGACCAGACCATCCTGCGGCTGGAGCGGCCACATGTCGAGCCCGGGTTCAAGGATGAGCGCAACTGCCTGGTGTTTTGGGCGAGGCCGCCCAACCACGTCGTGCAGTTGGCGGCCAAGTTGCAGGATTTGCTGAGGAGAGCTGCCCCGGGTTCGTTTTTTTTTCTTTTTCTCTTCCAACAAAAAATCCATGCCTGACTGACTGTTGTTGAAAAGGAACATGGCTGATGCCCACGCACCGGATGCACATGACGACGCTGGAAGTGGCATTCTCCAAAACACCCCAGGAGATAGGGGAGCTGGTGTCCGCCATGCGCCCCGGCATTCCGGGCATTGCGTCCTACACGCACCTCCATCGCGCGCGGCTGGTGAAGCCCATGGTATCGTATGATACGTCTGCCTTTGCCGTGTCCTTCCTGCCGGCGTCTGGGGAAGAGGCGCTGTCGCCGCCCCCGACTGCCCCCGACGCTCCGGCCGACACCATCGTCCAGGGCGACGGGTACACCTATCACCACCTGCGGCGGGACGTGTTTGACAAGATCCGGGAGGCTGGGCTGCAGGTCGGCTCGCGCTATCAGGTGCCCAGTGCGCACATCACGCTGGGCCGATTCTTGGATGAGGCGGATCACGACACGCCTGAGAAGAGGGCCGCGTGGGTGAATGCTGTTGACGACATTAACCGGTGGTTGGAGAGGGAGGTGTGGGATAGGAAGGATGCCGAGTACATTGGTGAATGGGTCGTTGGCCACGAGAAGGGCCTGGATGCGAGGAGTGGCACTCTGTGGTATGGCGGTGGTAGGACTATTTTGCTGGGTGAGGGATTCTAGACTACAGACGTTTGCGATAGACCAGCATAGATGGAGCCATATGAAATAATACGACAACAAACGCATCACGGCAAGTGAGTTGTCATGCTTCGCCGCGAGCGTCTGTCGTCTTTCGGTTGGCCCCTTGCGTTTGGATTCATCTCGTCATCATCACATACATTTCTTCGCCCACGTCCATCTTTTGATGGCAATTTCTTGGCACGGAAATTCTCCTTTTTTTCTTTTCATTCATTCCCTATGAACCATCCCCCCAAAAATGAGGACATGTACCCTCCTTTCGCCAGTGTCCATGATAGCCCCGAATGCCGCAAGGATAACCATAAGAAATTGAGCGAACCCGACATAATGCACTTAGAACACCAGAGCCGCACCCTTCGTCTTCTTGTCACCACTATGTTACTGTCAGCATATTCTCGCCCCCCCCCCCGCGTGTTGAAGCGAAAAACACGTCAAAGAAAAGGGAAGGGGAAAAAAGCGTACCCCAACTCGAAGTGCTTGCATCGCTTCAGGGCCAGCTGGCACTTGGTCTTGCACTTGACGCACTCCAATCTCAGGACGACCTTCTTGGTGGTCTTGGCCTTCTTGTGAAAAACGGGCTTGGTCTGACCACCATAACCGCTCTGCTTTCGGTCGTAACGGCGCTTACCCTGGGCGAACAGCGAGGCCTTGCCAGCCTTGTACTGGGTGACCTTGTGCTGGGTGTGCTTGCGGCACTCCTTGCCCTTGCAGTAGGTGTTTCGGGTCTTGGGAATGTTGACCTAATCGCAGAAAAGAAAAAAAAATGTCAGCCGCTGCCGTCCCCATATTTTGCCCGCATCTGATCAAGTCTTGATTCGAAGGGTGACGCGGAATGCCACCAGTCCGCGCGACAGACAATTGTCGAAAGGAGTAGAAGTTTTTCGTCAAAATATAGAGCGTTTATGAAAATTGCCGTATTCCGTGTGCAAACATTGCACAACCGCGGCTGGGAAGCATCGTCTTCTTTCCCCCCCCGGCCACCATGAGAGAAAGAATTCATCGGTCGGAGAAACTGTCATCGTGCGGCGGTGGGCAAAACTCGTACCATTCGATAGATGAATCAAATCGACTTGTCGTTCAAGGGTGCTGAGTTGGGTAAAAAAGCATTTGGGAGACCTACCATCTTGACGACGTTGTGCGGGTGTCGTTACTCGGGGTGTTTGGTGATGGTGAAGTTGCGAGGCCACAATGGAAATTTGGTAGGTTTTGGTGATTTCTCGCTTTGTGGGAAACTAGGGTAAACGTCCGCCTTTGATTGGATGCGGTTGGAAGGGTGGACCTGCGACAACTTTTGATGCCTCAATTCCCCGGTGTGCACTCAGAGTCCTGGGAGCTGCCCCGCAATTATCCTGAATTGGTTGTCCGCAGCGCTGCTGTAATCGCTGAAACAAAAGGACAAAAGGACAACTTGGAGAGTAGGACATGTCGAATGAAGATACTTTAGCATGAATAGTACTTGAAATAAGTAAGGCTCAGTTTTACTCTATGCTCATAGTCTTTTTCATTGATTACACGTTGATTCTTTGAAGCTTTTCACGGCGGCACCTGCAGGAAGCTAAAGCAGCACTGCCGTAGTGCCCACAAACAGTTAGCTCAGACTCATCATAGTCAACTGTCCAAAGCCCCTGGAGCAACCAGCGCACCAGACCCCACTATGATCTGGAAGGCCAACAAACCGCATGTCTCCCAGCTCATGAAGGGGACAAAGACAATACCATAGCAGTCGCTCATCATGGACCCCTATTCCGCAGAAGGTGAATTGATCAACATTCACAACCATTTCCACCAAGGCCAATATCAGCAAGTTGTCGATTTTGATACCTCGTCCTTCTCTGCCGACAATGCTCTCCCCGCGCGCGTCCTAGTCCTGCGGGCTCGCGTCGCACTTGGTCAGGCTGAGGATGTTGTCGCAGAGGTCAAGGGTGCAAAGGAGCCAGATCTGGAGGTCCTTGGCGCCTATGCCGAATACACGCTGGGCAAGACTGATTCTGCGCTAAAGACCGTTGAGAAGCTGGCTTCCTCGGCGGCTGACAACGTCACCGTTCAAGTCGTCGGCGGAACTGTCCTACAGGCTGCCGGCAAGTCAGAGGAGGCCATCGCTCTGTTGTCACAACATCAAGGAAGTTGTATGTTTTGGGGAGCTGCTGGAGCCGCAAAGTGAACGTTGAAGCTTACACAAGGAAAATAGTGGAAGCCGTGGCCTTGATTGTCCAGATCCACCTCCAGCAGAATCGAACCGACCTCGCCGTCAAGGAGGTCTCCGCTGCGAGACGATGGGCACAGGACAGCTTGTTGGTGAACCTTGCTGAGTCCTGGGTTGGACTCAGAGTGGTCAGTGACAATTTTCTTACCCGAAATACACGGAAAGAAAAAGCGACATGAAGCTGACTTCGTCATAGGGCGGTGAGAAATACCAGCAAGCATTTTACGTATTCGAGGAGCTCGCCCAAGCTCCGTCAACAGCCTCGATACGGAGTCTCGTCTCGCAGGCCGTCTGCGAACTACACCTCGGTCGTTTGGAGGAGGCACAAACTGCCCTGGAGCAGGCATTGAAGAAGGACCCAGAATACGTCGAAGCCATTGCGAATATGCTGGTTTTGACTGTAATTTCCGGTGGAGATGCATCGGATTACGCTGCGTATGTTCAACATTGTCCGAGGACGTTTTCCCTTTGGTTTGTGGTACTAACTAGAGCAGGTCACTCAAGAAGGCTGACCCCAGCCATGCGTTGCTAGTTGATTTGGAGGCAAAGAGCGCCTTGTTTGACCAGGCAGCGACCAAGTATCGTGCAAAGGTGTCTTCGTAGAGATGCTTTACAGGATTGATTGATATGAGCATAATGATAGGCGCCCATGGCTGTGAGGATTAGAAGTGTCGAATTAATAAAAGTACTTATCCTGAAGATGGCTGTGCTTCGTGGCACGAGGCAGTTGATACAATGAGCATCACGGTAACTCGATTTTTTCTTTCCTTTTTGAACAAACGCATGATATTCAGAATAGATACAAGATTGTCCCATGTCCCGTGTCCAAACGCAACCCGTTTGATCTGTGTCAATCTAGTCTAGGGTAGCACGTGAGTAAGAAGTCGTGATTATTCATCGTCTCATTCTTCAAAAAAATCATCCAAGTCCGACATGGCTCGTTCTAAAGGCGATAGCGCCTGACTGTGTCTTCTGTGGGAAGATGTAATTATCGTGGTTTTGGAATGTCTAAACTAGGGCGTCCTCAAACGTCAGTGGTTCGATGACTCCGCTTGCAGTTTTTGGTCGGTATAGAGTCGGATCTAACCTGGAACTATATTCGTCTGTCATCAACTTTCGGTCCTTTTGTTCCGTATCTTCATGTTCCAACTCGTCATCCGAGATGGCTAGGTACGATCGAACGTTATTCTAAAACGCCCTCACCTCTCCTGGATCTCGCTGGACGAATGAAGCTTCTCCCCCATCTGACTTCCTCATTGCCAGGTGCTCCCTGGATTCAGACTTCTTTCCAGTATGCCCCGAACCGTCACATTTATCTGTTGAAAAACCAGGTACCGATGGTCGAGCTGATTGCCTGACTACCGACGTATTTGTTTTTTGAAGCTCTGTTGATGACCGCCTTTCAGGGTCTAGGCACCTGACTAGGGACGCACCGGTGAAATACTCCTTGTACTGGAGAAATGCTAACGAGTCATCTTCTATTTCGCTTGCCCCGGAAGCACTGTGATTGTAGCTCCGTGGCTCATGACAAGTTGATAGTGAGCCTGCAGAAAGATCGTGTGCCAGGTCGATGGCGTTGCTTCGTGGGGACCATGGCTGGGTGTTGGATGAAGACTCTAGCCAGGCGACAATGGATTTGACTGAGCGGCAGCCGTTTCTCTCGGGGACAACTTTGAGAGGGGTCCGTATGTCATGTTGGGAATTCGTAGATGGAAAACTGCTAGAGGGCGGTTTGACGGGTTCTGGTGTGTTGATTGTGCCCATGCTGATGCTTGGTGATAAGGGTAAGTCACAACTAAGGTGCTTAAATGCGTGGGACGAAAAAGAAAAATTTGACCTTTCCACAACAGCAAGAAACTCCAAAAACTCTTTTTGGTAATGTTTACAAGCACAGGTGCTGTCACGTTTTGTCAGTGCCTGGTACAACAACTGCTGCCAGCTGGCATAACTGTCCCTGTGAATACCAACGGAACCAAGTGCACAGGGCCCACCTCCCACGGTATACTTCAGAAAAGAAATATATATATTTGTTCAATTTACTTTAATGTTGATAAAGTTTTGCTCCCTCTATACCCAGTCTATAGGCTCCCGCGTTGTTCCCCAAGCCTTTCTTCTCAGAACCCCGTTAAGGATTTCTCTTCAACCGTTTAAACTCAAATGGCCCAGCCTTTCGCTATAATTGAAGTCGTGGATGAACATTTCATTTCGTCTTTTTTCTTTCTTTTTGCTTTCCCAGCCCCCTAGCAAGCATCTTACTTCTTGTTAGGGAACTTGGGAGCGCCAATGTCAGCGCCACGCAATTTGACGTTCAGGACACGCTCCATGGACCCGAGGACCTTTTGATCGGGAGCGGCAGTTCCTCGTTCGAAGTCAGCGACAATGCTCTGAGTGGTGTTGCATCGGGTTGCAAGATCCTTCTGTGTCATCTTGGGCTCCATCTTTTGTCTAGCAGCGGAGATAGTGTCGCCAACCAGCTTGCCGACGGTGTTGGGCTTGATGATGTCGTCGGCCCGGTCGACCTTTGTCAGGCGCTGACCTTCAGCGCCACCACTAGACTGTTGAGCACAACTGTTAGTTGAATACATTTCACTATTTGAGAAGAATTGCCACATGCATGGCTTGGACATAGCGAGATGAACTCTTATGCCGGCTACGGTATCTCGTTGCATCTATTCTTCTCGAGAGGCATCGCAAAGTGTACGTACAGCGTTGGAAGAAGCATACTTCTTTTCGGTTCCGATAACAGCGCCGCTTCGTGCAGCAGCATTTAAAGCACTCT